TTGTTACAATCATGATGATCGACCCACGGGGAGTTTCTTCATTTTACGGAAGAATGTCAGTTTTTACAATAACTAGTATCATTATTTTGTGATCAATGGTACTTTGTCTGTTTGTATGTTTTTTTGCTACGCCTCGTGGTTTCATTTCAGTTTTGGACATTGTTAGCGTCATTTTTATGATCAATAAGGCTATAGACAATGGAAAATTGTGGTTAATTTGTTTAATAGAAGTATGATTTTCATTGGTAATAGCAAAATACCAGGACCTCCATGTGGAAAGGGGCCAGTCTGCGTTGGAAGGCGGATGGGACCAGAATGCAACCAGCCTGATATGTGGCCGTTTCGGGGTGTGTTGAAGCATGATACCTTGGGAATGTTAACTTGTGTTTGAAATAGTCAAACGGAATAGGTCGCCTCTTACTATTTCCCATAAGGTTGCAGAAGTAAAGTAACATGTAGTCCCAGTTATTATAACTGTATCCATTGTATTGTGAAGTAGCACGTTTCTTCTATTTGGGAGACAAAATTTCATATCTATAATACTTTAAAATTACTTGGTAGCACTCTTGAAGTAAAACTTATGTGGGACTGAAGTCGACTTCCCTGCTAAATTAAGTCACAACCGTGAGCGTACGAAGTTCAACCATTACAACCAGCCGCATATTCTACTTTGATGTCACACTTGAACAGTACAATCTTGTAACCTGCTCTACTTGATTTCTTCGTTTTATTTCTTTTTATAAATTTACAAACATTTCCACAGAACACTTTAATAAATAAATGTTACATAGCCTCACTCAAAATTATACTTTTTCAATTTTTACGCGATTTTAAGTCACTGTGATAATTTGTTTGACAGACTGTTCGGGTAACGGAGAACCTATTTTGACCGGGGGCTGTGGTGCACTTTGTAGCTGTTTCGGGGGATGGAGGGGTGAATATTGTGAAAGAATAACTGCAAATGGCGGAGGTGATCCACACCTGAAAACATTGGATGGTAAGTAGATATCCTAGAGACAGATTTAATGATTACTTTTTAGTAGAGTTGGGGTTCAAAAGAATGATATTAATCAAACAAGCACCATCTATGTGAATGTTATTTTTAGGCCAACATTTCTAGTTTTCTATTCTTCTAACTAAGAAAGGACTCTCTGTTTTTGTGTTTATTTATTTTGACTTATGAGAGCTGTCTCCCATCTACTGATCGTTAAGGAACTGGTATTTAAGGATTTAAAAATTTGAAATTATTAAGCTTCAGGACAGGTGCTTTAGATATGATGATTGTAATTTTACCATTTTCCCTCATTCTGAAGGTGTAGACTTCGACTTTTTCGGAATTGGTGAGTTCTGGGGTTGTAAAAGTGTTAAGAACGGTTTTGGTCTTCAATTCCGTTTTTATTACTACGAGCGAGCCTCACTAATTGGTGGAATTGCTCTCAAAGCTGGCAGAAGCGTTGTAACGATTATGACGGTCAAGACTGAGAATGTTCAAGATCTGCCCATGACCAGGTTTGTTTTGTGCATTTTGATCAACTTGCAAAGTAATTTTTTCGAGATAGAGACTGCTCACCAGATGCTTTAACGGTACAATCTTTACGCTTCTTCTTACTACATACATGTTTTAAGTTTTTGAAAAATTTTAAATGCCGAGGCAGGGAATTAGGCTGGAGAAGCGAAATATAGATATCGATTGAAGTTCTTGGGTCATTTCTGTAAGTTTTCATTTGCGTCGATTGTGATTGTTTCCTTTTCCTTTTATTGAACCATTAACTGCTTTGCTCAAGCTTTTGTGCCAACCTACCTTTTATACTTAAACATTACTTATTTTTACTCAGCTCGATTAGCGCTTTAGTTATTCTAAGTAAATGTTGCCTCAGTCTCCTA